TCGAGCAAGGTGTTAAATTTCAATCGCTATTTTCGGAAACATCCTATACACTGTATTGTGTTAACTGTCATTTCCAGTATAAATTAACGGTCGTAAAGGCTTTTTACCAGTTCTCCTCGAAATACCCGTGACAATACGAAGACTCTCGAAATCACCGGGACTACTTTCTTTCTGTTTGTCTTCCCCTCGAATTGGTGAACAAAAACCAACGACGGCCACCACCGTCTCTCTCTATTTCTCTCTCTCTCTCTCTCTCTCTCTCTCTCTCTCTCTCTCTCTCGGTCGTCTCGTGCGCAACGCTACACTCCGCGTAACTAGTATGCAATTAGCGGGGGCGCAACGGGGAAGTAACCGGTTGCTGCGAACCCGGATAATGGAGTAGCGAAATTGCAGCGAAAGTTCGCGGGGGAAAATCGTTAAACCTGGAGGCCGAACAGTCACGATTGCGACCGAATGAAAATTCTTTCAGTATTTTCTACCAGAGAGTACTGTACGGTATATGCTTCGAGTACTATACTACTATAAGAACTTTGGTATAGTCTATATCTCGAGTACTGTAGGTAATACTACGGAGACTATAGTATAATCTCTATCTCGTGTACTATAGTAGTGTAGAGAATACTTTAACCCTTGCGTTCGTACTGCCAGGTTAGGAATGACACCTCCGTAAGCACAGTTGTCCAATTGTTTGTACATCGACGAAGCTAATATTTCGAGATATTCCCGTGGGTCAAGATTAACCCAGTCGTAGTCTTTAACGATCTATACATCCGAGTATTAACAAACAGTATTTGTTGCTGAAAATATTGTAGGATCATTGGATCGTTCGAAGTCAATCGGAAGACTCCCGGCCTCCGGGATTGACGTCCCTCGTACTTACGCGAGTATCCACGCGGTTTTTTCTCACGTCTGTTTCTCATCCACCGCGAGATAGCCAGATAGCCAGATAGCCAGCCGCCGGTAGTTGAATATTAGCCAACTAGAACGATATTAGATTTAGCCCAGCGATTTACGTGCGTTATGTTTGAAATTATTTAAAACTCTCAGACATTTCTTCGAGTCTGTTTGTGATCATCGTCTAAAAAATTCTCCATCACAGGCATCGCCTAAAAGGTGTACAGTAAATCCTCGATGATTGTTCGAAGGCTCCTCGTCACTGGGTTTAACACAGTGATAAAGCTGGGAATTCTGACGCCAATGCTGTTTCCTTCAGTCGTATATGGCCGATAGTTTATGCAATATTTAAGATTCAGTGCAGAGGAGTCTTCGAACACTCCTCGAGGATTCACTGTACTTGTACCGTTCGCACTGCTTCCCTCGTCGCACAAACACGTTCATGGATCGTACACCTGTGTAATATCCACCCGAGGCCACGAACGACACACGGTTACCCACTTGTGCACCAAAAGAAGATACTCGTCACTACAGGCACGACGCCATATACATATTATATACCTATGTATGCCTTGACATGACACGCTGTTCGTGCCTTGGAAATGGTCCCCTGGAAAGTCTCTCCATACGTGTCTGTCTCTTTCTGACCCCCCACCCCCTTTATACGAATCAAACACTATGTCTCGGTCACATGGGAGCGAAATCACATCCCATCCACCCAGCCACCACCCTGTTTTAGCCTCTTAGGTCTCTTTCATCGTCGACACACACCACGCGAGTACGCGATTCACCCCGATGTTATGGATTTATGAACACCATTCCTGTCTTGATACTCTTTTTATTTACCTTTTTTTTTTGTCCCCTCTCCAGAAACTTGCGCTATGCCCTCGATCCCCTACGCTTCCGCTTCGCACATGGCTTCGTCAGCGACGCGAGAAGTTGTCCTGTGAATTCAGCGATTTATAGAGGAAAGTGTGTACATGCAAGGTGATCGACGATCGATGAAACGGTCAAAAAATAAGTCTTTGCAATTATTGTAGAATTTTAGGGTGTTAAGAAGAAGAGTGATGTTTTAGAGTGTTTGAAAAAATCGTAGAAATCGGAGGTGGGACACGTATTGTAAATATTTAAGATTTAATAATTTCTATATACAATATACCCAAAAGAAGAATAACTTGTCGCGTCGCAAGAACACAAATACTGTCGCTTCGAGCCGTCCTAGAAGTCGCATGTCTGCATTCCGCTTCTGCATGCCCCGGTGCATCGACAAGACCAAGCTTCCTCGGATATGTAGTCGAGCGTTCGTACTAGAGATCACGGTTTTCAACGTGATTATATTCCCAGCAGTTGGAAAGCACCTTTCGGAGGCAACTGATGTTGCTGGTATGTTTAAACCCTTTCATTGTGAGTTCTGCAATTGTTGAATATTTAATTTTCAAATTTATTTTCATATCTATTTTGTGTGACCATATTTTGTTTTCGAAAATTAGTAACTGTATCCTACGAATTAATAGGAATGAAAAGTGCAGATACGGTGATACACGTAGTATTTAAATACACGTGAAATACGGATCTCTAGTTCGTACCGAACCAAGGACACGCGTAGTGTGTCCGCGATCGTTCCGGAAGTTCGTCGAGTCGCGCACACCCTGGGACAAGTCGCGTGATCCTCGTCGAATCGAATATGCACGCTCGACTCGAGAAACGAGCGGAAGTCACCCCCTGATCCAACACCTCCCCTATTGGTCTTCGAAACTGCAAGGAGCTCGATGACGATTTCTGTTCGCTGAACCGAACTGTCCCCTTGCTGAAATATCACCGTTTCCTATATTTTAGTTCGTCTTTCGAAGCGATTAAAGATTTGTCCTTAGGCCCCCATCTTCCCCTTATCCTTTGCGAATCGGACAAAGCGAGACAATCGTCATGCTCCTTCATTATTCGAGCACGATCCACGAAGAATTCTTTGATTCTTTTTTTTTTTTGTCACCCTTGAACAGCGAACGTTCTTTAATGTTCGTGCAGACAACGGTGCTTGGGTCTATTTGGACCCGCATATTACCCATATATTTTTTCTTAAATATATTTTTGAATACAATTAATCAAGAAGACTTGACATTTTATATGACCCAATAGGAATAACTTAAATTAGGTTTATAAGTTGTTGAATTAGATGGAGCCTTTGAAAATTGGGGTATAAATTGGTCCAGGCAGCGGCTGTTCGAGGGTTAAAAAGTCTTGAAGAGACTATCTAAGCTACCTCTTGAGATGATCGATACCAACGACGTTTGCACGTCTACCATGTGAATTGCATCTACCAGCACTGACACCTCGGTCCGTTACCAATCTATACCTTTTTTCCAGCCTTTTTAATTTAATTAGACTTGGATCGCAGGGTATTCGGGACCATCGACTGGGCTCAATTTAACGATCGATACTAAAGATCAGTTTGTGGCTCTAAGAATTTGTTTTCATGGGTGGTATTCTAGTATAGTGTCACTGATTTGAGATAAATATTTTTCAGTGTTTATTTCGAATTATTAGAAACTGGATTTCATAGGTTGTTAATTATATGGGTGCATTAAGTGTATAATCTAGATAAGTGTAAATGTTCTTTGTTCTGTTCTCATATACGCGTGTACTATTATTCTTATCCTGTATATTAATCAAATGAAATCAACTAAAATCTCAAATAAAGTCACTCCTCTAATAACCTAATTAAGAGACTATAATTAAGAAATTTAGAAAAATCAGAATTGATAATAGTACTGTTGGTTACTAACACCCTGCACAATCTACTGTCATTTTTCTTTTCTGTGTTTCAACAAGTTTTTCATTGAAATCATTCGAAAGCAGTTTCGATCGTCCGCGACCAAAAGTCGAAGGGTCGCTTTCGCCCTGGTCCGAGTCTTTATTGTTCACCTTCTTCTTTCCATTCTTTTCTTCTGTTTCCCAATGGACGAGAACGATCGACGCCCACTTCCCCCCACTCCATTTCTTTCGGTTTCACCTCTCTTTCAAGACTACCTGAATCGAATACGACAATATTTTTGAACGATATTTTAAATCAACACGCTCGGTGCTGCTACAACTCTCTCAGACCTTTTGTTTACATCCCGTTAGTTTACATCGAACATTCGACGCGGTTAGTGTTGTACGTCGTGTGAATTAGCTGGACCTGCGTTATGTAATGGAACTCGCAAAATTCCATTACGACGCTGCTGAATAAATCGATATAGAGTTTTCTGTGTCTTCAGTGTCGGCTTCAGTGTCAACGAATGCATTGAAATACGAAAGAAAATAGTCGGTAGAGTTTGTGAAGTATTTTTGTTAATTATTGTGATATTTTTTGTGACGTGACGCTTTGCCCGGTGGATCGATGTTTTTCGTGATTGTATTTCTACACCAGAGTCCAGCTATTTTACATTTGAAATTCCCAGAACGGTCGTACTCTGTGTCTTTTTGGGAGTCAATCAGAGAGCAGTTGTTTGTCAATTTATAAATTGTCATGTGAGTAGATATATACGGCGATGAAATGATTAAAGAGGACCTTTTTTGTAACGAGAATTATTTTGATCGTGTGAATGTGAATTTCGAAAATTTCGTTCCAATCGAAATGCAAATGAAGCTCATCTCGATGCAAGGTGAGAGAAGCATTGAGTGGGGCTTGCTCGCCATTTTTCATCCCTCGAGTTTTCACAGCGATATCAGAATTTCTGCAATTCACAAACGCGAGAAATCATCCGAGAAGTTTATTATCTCGAAGGACAATATATCCAATAGAAGAAAAATCAAAATAAAATATTACGTATTAGATATTAAAGATTAAATATTGAATATTGAATATTGAATATTGAATATTGAATATTGAATATTGAATATTGAATGTTAAATATTAAGTATTGTATATTATATTATATATTAAAATCTTCAATAGATTTAAGACCAAAATCATCGATTTCCTCTCTGGTTGGCTCTTGAGGGCGCCATAGGGCCCGAACGAACTTTATCTCGCGATCAGTCAGCTACTAATTCAGCGAAAAATCTAAACTAAGCACAAAGAAAAAAAAAAAAACAATATACGTGACGTATGTGTATATGTTGTACAGAGGATAAGAAGGGCGGCGTCGACCGGAGCAGCACGGTCATTGCCAAAGAACCCGAAGGTAAAGAAAAAAAACACCAGCCACATTGTATAAATATCGAGAAAATAGATCGAGAAACGTTCCGACGTTTCTCGTTCGTCGTGTGTAATTTGCAATATGTATATCCTTCGTGTATACGTGTGTATCACTTCGTGTATACAATATTACCGTATTTACAATGTGTGTGTGTGTGTGTATTACGTGTTTAAACGTCTCTCTCTGCCACCACAAACACACGCGCGCGCGCACACACACACACATGCACCCCCGCGATCGGTCAGTTTGGCTTCTCCCGTTCGCCACGTGACGGTACGCACCTGTCTCCCCTCCCTCTTAACCCCACGTGACCGAAAGCCTGTTTCATTGGCTTCCCCCGGGGGAGCTTTACCTTGTTCTTAACGCTATCTGTCACGTGTCCAGTTCCGCAATAGCTAGCTTCGTGTCCCGTTCGATCCAGTGCCATTCTCTGGACGTTTCAACCTGTAATGGACCTCTGGTTCTCACGGATCTACAACGCCAAACGTAATACATTCAACTTGCATACATATACATATATGTAGATTTCTATTCGAACCCGTGTTCCGTTAGAAAAATTTTTACGTTAACTTTTCGAAGTTTTTTTTTGTTTTTTTCCTAAAGCCTTGGACCATTTTCTTTTCATCACCCTGTATAATTGTAACAGATAGTTTGATTATCAAACGATCGACTCGCGAGTATTGGAAAATGGTTGAAATTGTTTCATTTAGAATTTTGGTTCACGATTGTCGAATGGATTTCGTTTGATGACTGATGTGGTGGGTGGTAGAGGTGCATACTTGAATGGGAGAAGCCAATCGCTCGAAGGGGGCTCAGTGACGAGCTTCGAGCCGAGCTTTTGCACCCTGTCTGTTCCAGCTTCCGCTAACACACACTTCGGATTTACCGTCTCTCCAGCCTTCTCTCGTTCCACGAACTAACCGTGGACGTTGCGCGTGTCTCTGCTTTCTCTGATCGGTCCGCAATCAACCGTAGTCCCCGCTACACCCGCCCGAGACCTCGATAAATCAGCCTCAAGATCGATCGACGACGCGTGTGACGTGATTTTTGAGGCTAGAAATGTGATTTTTAAAATTAGCACACACGATTTTTGTCACGTCAACGCACACGTTCTCACGCGTCCACGATCGACTCGAGAAGAAAACACCGAAAGTGATTTCAGGCGAGATGCTTAGTGATTGGCGACTGGTTCTTGGAACGATCTTTTTATTTTTGAGAAATTAAATTGCTTTGGATGTGAGGAATCTGTGACGGAACTTGTACCATTTTGGGGTGTGCTATAACTTTATGTAACACTTGGTACATTAAAAAGTAGTGTAACCCAATAAGATGCTTTAAAGAGGAAAGATTCTATTTCTACTTTCGCTCTTGTCTTTGTGAATCATTTAATATTATTATAAAATGTTATTACCCGCAGTCTATTGATCTCACAATTCCGAAATTGATATCTCAGTTCCGTTTTTTCAGTAACCGGTCGCCAAGAATCTGCTCTCTCGCGTGAAACGGTACTAATGCTACGTATCCACACGAGAGCGTTTATCGAGAGTACTCGATCGAACATGATACCTGAAAGAAACGCTTCTACAACAGTTGCTTCTATTGTCCAGAGCAATGACAAGCAACCCGCGACGCTCCAATCATTTACATGCAATTTTTAAGTTAAACAATTTTAGTAAATGGAATTTCTTAAAGTTTCGGTCGCGGTGGTCTCTAAAGATCGTGGGATTTCCAATTCTGATCTGCTGAAAAAAAAAAAAAAAAACAGGGTTGCTCATCATTGGTCTAGAGTAGAGGAAAACACGTGAAGTCGACTCTCTAAAGGAGACGCAGCATAACATTCTGGAGGTCTGGGTTACCGTAGACTGTTGTAACTCCGTTAGCAGGTTCCTGGTTTGTTTCCCTCGTTTAGCGCCCGATTTAGAATCGAGCGACGAACCGACCGGTTTAGTAGTCGAGTGAATTAGCGGCCATGGAGAAAAACACGTTCTCGACAACAGAACCTATGTTCGGATAACGTAGATTTATGGTCGCAGTACTGGAGCGACGACGAACACAAATGATATTCGTGAATGTTATTGACTAGCTAGACTTACCAATAGAAAATTGATTCTGTGTGACGATATCACGCTGTTTAGAGAATATACATTGTATTACTGATCGTGATGGTCGAACAACCAAATAGGTTTGTGTGTGTGTTTCCTTTAAATCAATCCACCAGACCAGACGAACGACGGCTCCCGATGAAACATCGCGATTAGTCGAAAGCACCTTTGAATAGCTTGGCGACGCTCGCCGATAGGTGAACCCGTCATCCGTAGCTGGTAGATCGTTCGGAGAATACTGGGTGATTCAATATGTCTGTCATGTCACCTTTGGGGGCGTGACCTAACCCCCTTTGGATTGGAAGATCTTTGAACAATTCCATCAACTGATCGATATCAGAGTGTGTGTCTCGTGCAATCTCTGATAGTTGCAAAAGGTTGAGATAAATTTTCGAAAAAGAAGCTTTCACGGGTAATGATTCTTGCATTCGACAGATTGGACATTGTGAATTTGGTTCGAAGACGCTCCTGTTTGTATGCTTCTGGTGTCAATCTCCATAATTGAACGAATCAGATCTTTAAATTGCTTTCAGAAGCTTCTTCAGACCGATTCTCATATGATTGTCTGCATTTCGAACCCTCCCTTAAAATTTGATCACCCTGTACACCGAATAGGTAGACACGTTCGATGCATTGCATTTCTGTGATCCACGTTCTACAACACAGTTCTTCGAGTAGCCGTAGTCAGACTCTCCGTAGCGAATCTTCCGTAGATAAATACCGTCCAAGCATTCTGTAGTCGTCGGTACAACGCAACTGTCAACCACACGGAGAAAGAATTCATCGACGATACCGATAGTCGCCCTTCCAATCGTTTGAATTGTGCCTGGCATATTACCCATAGGTCTTTCAAAATCTACCTTAATAAAGAAAAAAGAAAAAAGAAAAAAGAAAAAAGAAAAAAGAAAAAAAAGTAGTACATGTACAAAGAAATGGCTGTGAGTCACTGTACACATACATCGTAGAACGGAAGGATCACCCAGCGTCCAATATCTCGGTTAACCCTATCCGACGATCCCGTATAATGACCAAAAAATCTCAGGTGCTGCTACTATCTAGTTGGTCACATTCGTATAGAATGTTACATCAATTACATGTACGTGAGGTTAGTATTCCTTTTTGTTGTCTTGAATTAATGCGTACTAATATTAAAGGAAATTAATTTTGTATCGCATAGATTGAAATACGAAAAAAAAAAAGTGAAATGCTTATCTCTCGGGTGTAAAATTATGTTAATTCTGCAACTTTTCAAAATGCTGTCATTATCGTTGCACAGAGACATCTTCCTGTTACATATGTAATATACCACGCAAAAAGACCACACACCTAACATAACTATAAAAAAAAAAAAATTAATTTACCAATTATCTGGTCACAGATTGCACCGACGAACTTGATTGTGGAACCATCTACAACTTTCTGATCGTTAAATGAACAGGCGAAATCTTAAGTCGGATAGGGCTGATCTCGATCGATCGCTTTTTCTCCCTTCCATCGCTCCCATCCAAGCCGCTATTATCTTCCTCCATCTACAAACGATTTAGTGAATCCCCCGTTGAACGGTGGTCCACTTGGCACCGGTTATTAGCTAGAAACGATATATCGCATGGAGAGAGAACGCGTCTCAGGTGAGGAGAGGTTGGCATCGCCCCGGGCGCTACCTAGACCCGAAGCGGAGAACCGAACGGAGGTGGTGTATTCATCAGCGGAGAGGAGATGCGCGCCGATGGCCCAAACCGTCAACGGAAATACCGCTTCTTGGCCCCGCTTGAAAATAGGATCGGCGAGGACGCCAGTTCGCGTTGAGCGGGCCGCGGACGGAGAACCCGCTTCGGTATATCCCTCTCGATTGTTTCCCTTTCGTTTTCCGGGAGCAAAAAGAAAAAAAGAGGAGATTTCAAGGAGGTGTGGATCCCCTACAAACACACACACACACGCGCGCACACGTACACAGAGAGAGAGAGAAACACTATTTAAACCGTGAAAAAATTGTCTATCTCCGTCTTCTCACCGATTGCTCTCTCTCTCTCTCTCTCTCTCTCTCTCTCTCTCTTTTATTTTTTCTCTATCTTTGTCCCTTTTCTTTTCATCGTTCTTCGCTTCCCGTTCTCTCTTTTGTCGCCGTGTGTTCCACCCCCACCCGGCGAAGCGAGGGAAAGGAGCGAGCGGACGTCGAGCGGAACCGATTCCGACAGACGCGAATCGGAGGGAAAAGCGATCGAAGTCGTTGAAGTCTGCCTCGATATGTCGGCTACAGCCGGCTTGCCTGGCTCCTCGAAGCAACCAGATAATTACGGTGAGCGAGCCCTCGCGATCGGGAAGAATTTTTTCGTCGATCGGTAGTTCGATCGTCGATGTATCGGTAGGTTTGGTCGTAAGATTCACGACCCTGTTCAGTGATCGAGGAGTGAAAACGAGGGGGGGGGGGGATTATTCTGATTGTGTTAAGAGTTAAGAGTACACTACTGGCCAAAAGCAGAGTTGGGCAAAATGTAATCTAATTACAAAATCTAATTTACAATTACATATATGTATACATGTATATTTTATATTACATTATATTGTCATTATAATTGTCTTTATAATTACATTGTAATTCAGATTTTGTAATTAGATTAAATTTTGCCCAACTCTGACCAAAAGTATAGGATCAAGTCTGATAATCAAGGAAAGAGAAAAATATTATTCTACAAAAGATTTGATAATAGTAATATGCCATTGGATATTATTTGTACCAATTTTTGGTAACTTTCATTATATCGTAACAGAATAATGAGTTACTGTTCCATCAGTCGTGAACTCTAGTCCCCATACTTTTAGCCAGAAGTTCATAGATTACCTTGCTGTTCATGTGAATCGACCTTCTTCTGTTTTCTCGTTAAAACAGTATAATCTACGTTCGTTCCTGAAATTTCCAAGTGGGAATATTCGTAGTCTATACCCGAAAGCATAAAACTTTTGTTTATACGTGCACGATAAGACTATAGCCCCGGTTATGTTTAACACAGGGCAGGCACGCGAGCATGAATCATTCGACTCAATTTATGTTTGTGGCTGAGCTCACGGTCCCTCTGTCCGGTGAATGGAGAGCCAGTTGAACGTCGTAAGCATTACGAATTCATTACTTCTTGTCTGATTATAGCCTGTCTATCTATGTATACTTTAACGACACGGCACATTTCCGTTCGACTATGCGAAAATGATCTCTAGACTTTCAAGAAGAGCATTTCATTCAATGTTTCCGATTAATTTCCTTGATAACATTCAACTGCAAACAATCGTACAATTACCCTTGTGTGTGTCGAGAGTCATTCGAACGTGTGTATTATTGCTACTTAATTTCGATTATTCAGAAAATTCCATTGAAGGTAAAAGAATACAAACCCAATGAAGTTCAGAACCGTCTCCTAAGAAATGCTGTCAATAATAAATGCTTCATTAATAGCTAAATCTAGCTGAATCCCCGTGACTTTTACTTAAAAAAGAACTTGCACATTTAACTATTTATCCCGTTTGTAATATTAATGTTCTATCACTGTGTCAATTTGACACCGTGGGACAACTGAAATTTAGAAAATGAGAGACGGATGAGTGTTGGAGAAAAAGTGGCTTCAATGGAAATGAATCTGACCTGTTGCCTTGAAGAATTCCAAAGGAAATGGCTTTTCACAGAGATACTTCTTTTTCTATTTCTCCCGTACAACAGACTCTAGAATATACTGCTATAGCCTACTTTTGATCATCGTTCCACTCTCTATCTTCGCAAACAAAAGGAAACCAGTCCCATTCAAGGTATACACTGAACCTTCATTTTCACTCCTCGATCTCTCAGTCCCCACGCGAATAAAACTTGGCAACAGTTCTTCATCAACTTCCAGAACGCCAAAGATTGTCCCAACTAGTCGTGTCTACCGTCCACGAAAACTCGTCGCTGCATCGAGAATCGATATGTAGATTCCATTTCGAACAATTCACGCGCTTGACATTTCTATGTAGGTTAACTTCGTCTGGCATCCGATCCACCGTGTGACGTTTCGTTTCCGCGTCTCTTCGCAGGGACTTCCGGTTTCGGAATATGGAAATTCGTGAACCGATATATCGATATATTTTCATATATCTTCACTCTAGAGTCTCTACACACGACGTGGTTGGGTCAGGATCGCGGGCCAACGATCTATTTCGGGATCGTAACCGTGTCTATGTCGACGTGAATCTATCGGGTGCGCGTAACTATTCTCGAAAGGTTGACCAACGCGAACATTTCCGCTTCTGCCCGCGCCGGTTCGCGTGTCGTCGTCGTCGTCGTCGTCGTCGTCGTCGTCGTCGTCGTCGTCGTCGTCGTCGTCGTCGTTTCAACGCTTGGACCGTATCCCGATAACCTCTCGTGCTCGGATGAGGCTGAAGAGAAAGACGACGCTGCCCGCCTTGTGCAAACGGACCCCCTAAAGCTTCGAGCGTCTTAAAGGCCGTGGGACGAATGTATTAAGTCAAGTAGAGGGAAGAAAAAGTTGCAAAGAAGAGGATCACAAGTGAAGTACCGGAAATATTATAAACATTGTGAATGTGTATAATTCTGAATTTTGAATCGAAGCTCGCGATGTTTTATGCCGATCGGCCAATGGAACGAGATACACCGCTGGATTTTTTGGACGATAGTTATCCTCGATTGACTTGACACATTCGTTTCCGTGATCTCTCTTGTGCTGGATGGTTGTGTGTCAGTGAGAATCTGTAGACTGATCGAAACAGGGTTCATGAGAACCGTTGATGTCCACAGCCGATGTTCTGTTAGAAGCCTTTTAACGTGACCTGGCTTGCTCGATTTGATCCGAATGTTGGACGAGCTTCGTTGCAGTTGGATTTCTGTGTCTTTTAATCGAATGGAATTTGATGTTGTTCATCCCTGATTGTCGATTTTTAATATTTCCTAACAGCCAGTTCTAATAGTTGTTCAATATTTGTTCAGTGAAGTTTTGCACCCTGTTGTATGAAATCCTCCTTTCGACAATTCTAGGCTGTCAACGTGAGATTTAATAACGATAGGCCCGATCATGACTTGGTCTAGCTCCCTGTCCAGTAAACTCTATCGATCCTTCGAAGACGCTTCGATACCTTTTAACGGTGGGATTAATCTCGATAGGTCTGAATCACGACTTGGTCTAGCTAACCAACAATGTGTTGTGTATCAACTGCTTTTGCATCGTCCCCTTACAATCCTCCGGAAAGCTGTATCATGGTCTTGCACTCCAATTAACGAGTCTGACTAACATACCCGCTCAAAAGATTCGAAGTTGCTAATAACAATAAAATTAATTTCGACTGGCCCAAATCAGCTGATCAGCAAGGTTCCACCGACCGTATTGCCTTAGAGCATTATCATCCGACGATCCTTTAAAGGCTACACAAAGATCCCGATTAATGAGTCTGACTAACAACCCCCCTCCACGTAGGAAAAGTCGATGTCGCTTAACCAGTCGAATTAATCCCGATGGACCCGAATTACGACACGGTCTAGCTGATCAGTGAGAGGGTGTTCTGTGGCCTCTGTTGCGTTTTGGAGCCTCGTATCGTGGACACGAGATATCCCCTTCGCTGACACTGTCTAATCGGTGCATTCGAAATCTTCGAGAAAGGCCCCGCCTCCCAGGGCACACCTCCGAACAGCCCCGCAGCTATCTCCGCGTTCGCCAGGGTAGTCGGGGCGGCGAGCCAGACGAGCAAGCAACCCCAGAACCAGATTCAGGGGAACAACCCCCTTGGGATAGCCGCGGTTCTCCTACAGGGAGCGCAAGGTAAATCGAGGGCCGTTGATGAGAGTTTCGGCTGGGAAACGGAAGCACGGTTGTGCAATCTCGGGATCGATCTGCTACCTACCGCGTTCCATCGAATCTATTAGATGTACAAATTAATTCTTGACCTTCTGTTTTCATAGATTTGTCGTTTGTTTATGAAGAAACACCAAACTACAATCTAGTCTTGAAAATATTGTCGATCACCTTCTGCACACATTTTACGTCATTTCGCGGGCATTTTGGCGAATCCCCTCACGAAAACGTGATTGCGGTAACTGTTTTTCGTTTTTGTAACCGCCAATAGGCCGTTTCTTTTCAGTATGTCCAGTTTTTGAAATTCTCAACTTTGGAGCTGTTTTCTGCTTTTACAGTAATAGTTCGCTTCGGTTTCTTTTGACACGAAATAATTCTCTGTACTATTCTACATATTGTAGTAGCGGGAAATGGCGAATTTTTGATTAACAGGTTAATTACTACGATCCAATTGTGAGGTTCCATGGGAATTTATACTTTCACGGAATTATTTATGAAGGTGAAAGTTCACTAAATATCGAATTTCCTGGGAGTCAATAAACGATGCAATGGACTGGATTATTACCGGTGTCCGGTAATTACGAGATAATTATCGTTCTTGCACACCGTTCTTTCGACTCTCAGCTGAAGCATCATTGCCGCGACGTTTTTTGTCACTTCCGTCTACGCCAGCCTCGAATACATCGATTCTTCTTGGGTTGTATGCCCATCACAGGGCTCTGTATTCACGGACCAACATCAAAATCGATGTTTCAGATTAACACAAACTTTATTCACCCGAAAATTGATAGAACTTTTCGTCAAATCGCAAGAATAATAGTACAAAAAATGTACCCTTATCGCGTAGATGAAATTAGAGGTATCCGAGGAAACTCAACAGAAGAAACAAGAGTAGAATAATACAACAAAGGGAGATGTTATCTTTAACACGTTGACTGCTACAGTGGAAAAGACCGTACGTAGCCAGACACGCTTCGTTTCGTTTCGTTTTTTTAAGTCATAAATCGTCGAAAATATATGCGTTTGCACTGCGATATTAATTTTACGCAAAATTTTCTAACGATCAAAGTGTTAAAATACGCTAGAATCAGCGACACAGCGGCGTGTCAGAATTTCGAGAAAAAAAAACGATCTACGAAGCCTGTCCTTCCCATCGAGAAGCTCGAATGAACGAAGGAACCCTTGTGTAGCTCGTAAAACCGAACGGTGGGTCAGGACTGGAAAACCGGCGAAAACAACAACAGAGTCGATCGAGGATCGACACGGAAAAATGACGACTGGTCGCGACGACACTCGTTTTCTCTGTTTCTCGAAACTGGAGAACGTCGAAACAACGGAGAGCGGAGAATAATTGGAGCGTCCTCGTCGTCGGGAGATATTACGGTCCGTTTTCCCGTCCTATTTTTCTTCTTCTTTTTATCGGTCCTGTCCGCAGTTAAAAGTTTACGAGCGGTCCCTGGACGCATCGCCGCGATATTGCGGGTCGTTACCGGATACTACGCGCCAGTTCAGCGAGACGTAAGCACGAAATAATTCTGGACCCCAGAACCAGAGTATATTAAGTCACATTTATCAAACTTTCGAGGAGAGCAAATCAAAGGTGTAAAAACCTTGATATTTCGATGAATTTTTCCGATTGAACGGGAAACAATGTAAAATGTAATTTTTCAAAAAATGTCGACTTAACAGTAAATCTGGCTTTGGGGTTCAGACACAAGGGTTGAAATACGAACCGCAAGAAGGACTGGGTCGCCCTCGATCAGGGTCGTTTGTGCAGATGAATTTCTAGAAATGTTGAATCGAATTATTCGAACACGTGTATGATATTGATGATCGACGTGATTCTCGAATCGGGAATCGTTCGCGAGATGAATCATTCTCGAGGGTTGACCCGAGTTATTCCGAACATGTGAATAGCGACACGTGATTCTCTCTAGTCCGAATCGTCTGAACTACAGTCGACTAGAAGTAGTGTCCTAGAAACCCCCTCGTTGCTTCTACACGAACAATTTTGTTTAAGCAGAAAACCGGAAGAGAGGAAATCGGTGAGTCTGATTTTTAGAGTCGAAGCATGACTTGGATTTTTTTTCTTTCTCCCCACGGTGTATACACCATAGCACGGACAGAAAAGTTACTAGTTTTTTTATTTGGAATATTTTCTTATCGTAATTACTTTATCGTCAGCTTGAAACATTAATATGAGTTTAATACATATGTATGATTATGAAAATGGTCAAAGAGAAAAAATGTAAAAAAAATCGAACGTATCGCTTGTTTGGTATTACATCGATATATTGTAATAGAGAATTGAAAGCTGTACAAAACATGGTATATTAAAGTTTTAAGTTGCTGTTAGGAAACGATATTGGGTTGAACGGAAGGTGCCTGCATTTTATTTGATATAAATTCCAATGTATCGTTTTTACAGAACCGTGATTTATTTAAGCAATGACGTGATATCCGTTAGTCTCTGTTACTCTTGCCCATACTTTTTCTGGTACAGAATGATTTCACCCAGAGACGCACAAACTTTCCGTTGAACCCGATAAAAAGAAAAAGAAAATCGGAAAAGTGGTAAGTTTTTTGTCCATTACTATTTATGTATATGTACACCGGTCACAAACAGTCGTTCACTTTTGCAAAACGATCTCGCCACACGCTTGCGCGAACTTAGATCACCATGCTTGTGCTCCTCCCCCACTCTGTCGTTCGTCATTTTGACGCACTTATATGTATGCATATAGTTATTTCACCCAATGGACAGTCCCCTACACCCCTACCTGGCCGAGATTCGGATTTGGATTGCTTATCTAGTACTGTCTGATCTATAGATTCATCGATCTATGCGTTACAACAGGATTTTACTATGTATACGATCTATGCTGCACTCGTTCGTTCTCTCGCGAACGAGCGAAACGCCTTTGCACTTTGCCGATTTGCTTTCGATGACTCGTTTTTTTTCTTTCTATTTCTTTTTCTTTTGTTTACTGTTTTCTTTGGGTTTTTTATTCGTTAGATACTGAACCGCAGCACTCTCGTACTAACCGTTATTTAAACAAACGGAACGATTTATAAATTTGTATATTTTCCAAAGTTTGTCATGTTTATCGATCGGATAGAAATCGATATACAAAATAGATGTAAGACAGACACAGAGAGAGAGAGAGACAAGTATGTATTTTGTCTTACGTCCACTTGATCGGTGCTTTGATCCAGTCAGAATAGTTCTTCCATTTCAATAGAATACTATCTCGAGATCCAAGGATAAACATTCGAACGTCCCGAAGCTATCCACCGAATCGATCCTTTTTCGATAAATAGTTCGAAATCGGCCGCGATGTTACAAGGGTGCAGGACGGTTTTGAAAAAGAGAAAAACATGGCGGTCGGTAAAATAGAACCACAAGAGAGAGACCGGGTGGAAGCTGTTCTCGGACTGGCTGACAGTAGCTCGTCTTTTGGTTGGTTGGTTGCATGACTAGCTGGCAGCGCAGGGAGCGGTAGCAGCAGCGGTAGCAGCAGCAACAGCCAGAACAGCCAGACAGGCGCCTCGCCGTCCTCGCCGGCGGCGGTCTACATCGGCAACAACATCGCGACGACGCCGACGGCATCGTCGCGACGCCACGACTCCGCGAGCAACGGTCTGTATGAACACCTGTAATTCTCTTCTATCCCCACCTCTTGATCCTTTACCGACAAATCGGCTGACACACCTGGGAGGTACCTACATTCAATTCTATCGTCTCTTTGTGTCTGCATGATCCTTCTTGTTTTTTTTATATATACATATATTATTCCTTCTTTCGACACCTGCCGATGGCAAATTGATTCTATTCGATACGTTGAACGGGGAATATGGGATTTGAATCACTCAGAAGCCAACCTTATCAAGTGGAACATCAAAATAGAATGTAAATGTAATTATTAGACGGAAGTTAGATTTAAATTCAGAATTTCAGAATACGAATATCCGAAAATTAATATAGGACAGAATTTTGAACTTTTTACTAAAGGTTGTTCTACGTTCGGAATAACATCGATATTAAACTTAAAATCTTGTCTTTGTTACATTTTCGTAATTAAATAACGCGATGCTGTGAATGCATAACCATTTGCAATCTAGTAATTATAAATGTGATAATACGATGTGAAAATTTGTGAAATGTGGATATACAAAGTGATTCTGTATAATTTTACTTTGTCTCTACGTTTTCGTGAACATTCTAAAGTAGAATGGTTATCGTGTCGTCGATTTTTCATCTGTTTTTTGTATTTCACGTTATTGATCAGATTGACTTTTGAGTGGCTCACGCGTAGAATTTCCGATCGTTTCTCCGTCGAGTGTTGCTGGTCCGTGGTCAATGAAATTGGATCGCTTGTGTAATATCGGAAAACCTGAATTCGTCCGATGGAATCGTTTTCTGCATTTTTCCATTGGTATTAAAATCGCGAAACGGGGAAATACCGTTTCACGTAGAACAATTTTGTTGAAACTGCGAATCTAAAGAGTGCAGAATGGATTCTACAGAATGGAGTACATACTTGATTTGCTATTTAAATTCAGATCAATTATTAGAAAAATTATCAACAATGAATGTATCAAAAAAATTTCCACCGATTAACGATTCCATTTATCGAAGCACGCCTTGACCCCACCATTTCCAATTACTACCAATCTCGATCTACCAAAAATCTCTTAAAAATTCAATTCCCATCTCGAATTAAAAGACCTTCGAAGGCCTCTTTGGAAAATCGTTCGATTCCATACTTTCGATCCACAGACTTCTATACAAGAAATTCTATTATTTATTTTATGTTATTTCCATAGAAGTTTGTGGTTTGATCGTATTCCAATTTATCGGTTAAACGATCTCCAGTATCTTCTTCTTGTCCCCCTGTCCAATTCGAAACGATGATGGCTCGCCACCGTTTCTTCTACTTTCTTTCTTTCTCACGCCGCGTCTCTCG